CCCCCTCCCCGAGAATGACGAGGTATTAATCATCCATTTATTTAAATACCATAATTTAGTACATAGCTCATTACTGAGAGACTGACCTTTTTCCAGGCAGAAGGACCCCTCTCCGAATCGGTGCCGTGATTGCGTTTGCCGTGCTGAAAGAGGGATTGTTCCATCGCTGAGCTTGGCGGGGGGTTGGGAAGGGTGTCCATCTGAATCAACCCCCCCATCGCTGCCTCTGTTTAAAAAGAAAAAAAGAAAAAAAAAGAAAAAGTGGGGTAAAATATTTTTTTCGCTAGAAATGAAACATCTTTCCAGATGTGGTGGTGATGTAGCATTGGGGGGGGGGCATGGTGTTTGGTGGGGGGGACATTATAATAATGGGTCCTCGAGACCCCCAACTGGACCTGAAGGGGGTTTCTAATTAGGGGGAGTGGTGCCATCCCATATACCGTGGAACCGGCTAGGGTGGGGGCGCTTGGTGACGCTCCGCCTGCCTCTCCACCCCCCCCGCCTCACAGCCATCACTCCGGCACAAGAACAGCGGCTCGGTTTGCTGTGGTGACTCTTCAGCTGGCCAGGAGTGCACATTCATACCGCACTTTTTAAAAAATCCCCCATAATTAATGCCGAACCCCCTGCCCCCCCTCCCCGGTCTCCCCTGCTGATGAGTCCCTGTCATTCCAAGCTGAAATCAGCTGATCCCTCCCCCCCAAAATAAAGATGTGGGCCTGCACCCTCTTGATCCCCATGTCGCTGTGTACCTTTTGATTCCCGTTATTTTTCCGTTACCCGATGGTAGAAACCCCCCAAACCCCCCCCCCCCAAATGTCTTAAAATTAACGGGGTTAGCCAAACTCGATTGGGGCTCATCGGCATGCGCGGCATGGCTGTGCTCCCCTCTGCCCCTGGCATGGCAGTCGCTCTCCTCCATGCCGCTCTCATCTCGTCTGTGCCTCCCCCCCCCTTTGTTAATCAGTTAAACTCGCTCCTCAAACAGCTCCTCTAATTACCTCTCCTCTGCTCGCCCGCTGCGCCTCCTTCCCGGCTCTCCTCCTCCTCCCTCCTCCCCTGTATTGCCGTTGACCCCTGTCAGTTACTGAGCCCCCCCAATCCGTGCTTCGGCCCGCGCTCTTGCATCTTAATGACAGGGGGGTGGCGTGTCCCCCTCACGCCGCCTCATTAGAACCCACTCTGCGGTGCCCATGGCTGCGCCAGAGCTGCCTTCAGCCCCCTCCCCAGCCCCCCCCCCCATCTCACTCTCAGGCTCCCTCGCTCTGTACTGAAAGCCCACATGTCCCTCACGTTTGCTGCTCGGTCCTAACGGGCCCTCATTTCCCACGAAGGGCTGAAATTTGGAGCTGTTTGCCAGCTGCACCCGGCCGATTCCAGTTACCCCAAGCTGGTGCCCGCTGGCCCATTTGGACCTCAGTTCCCGGTGACCCTCGTGGGCCAATGTGGGCTCACAGATTCAAATATAAACCCGGGGGGGTTGGAAAGAAAATGCCTTTGTGTGTTGCAAGCCGTGTCGAAGAAGTCAAGTCCCCATTCTACTTCATGCCACCCCCCCCCCCCAAAATCTCCAAAGCTCCAAATTCCCCGGTCCGCACCATGAGTAGCTCCCACTACGCTGGCCGCACCGCCCCCAGGGTCCCGGCGTCCCGTGGGTCCGAGGCCCACACCTCCTGAGTTTCCCCACTAAGGCCTGCCGCTTGCCGTTACTTACGATAAAAATAAAAATAATTAAAAACGCCCCGTTTGGCTTCATCCCCCTGCCCCCCCCCCGTGCCATTACGCTGGTCTCTCCTCCGCTAATCGGTCTCTCCTTTTCTCCTCTTTCTTTTTATTATAAATTATCGTGCGTTGACAAAAAAAAAAAAAGCAGGGGGGGTGCATTTAATATACGCCTGACTTAAAATCGTTGGGGTTTCCAGGCCCTTCTAGAAGCCATTCTATTCACATCCAAATGAAAGGAAAAAGTCATTTATTCCCAGAGACAAAGCGGAATGAAAATATAATTCGGTATTGTGAGCCGCTTTTGTTAGCATCCGTCAAGCCGCTAATGGCGGCTCCTTTGTTTTCGCGTGCCGTCCTGAAACCCTAGTGTCGAATTGCATGCTCCGCTCGGGGTATGTAATCGCCCGCCTTTGTGATATTAGATTATAGGGGCAATTAATGGCGTCAAACCTTAACAACTCGGCATTCAGGCGGCTCGTCAATCTGCCGGCCTTGCCGACAGAAGGTGCTATAACTCCGGTAATTATTACGCCTGCAACTTGAAAATGTCAATGGACGTGTGTATAAAATAAAATGTATGGGTTGTCACTCGAAGAATGGGATGCAGAAGAGCAATTAATTACAGGTTTTCATTTCCGAGCGGCGCATGACAGGCGACTGTGCCAAGGCATGGTGTAGAGCCTGATTCCGGTAACCCCCCCTCCCCCACGGCCACCACCCACCACACATGCCCGTCGCCTCTTCCTCCCCATCGCGGCCCCTCCTTTATTTCATTCCTTTTTATTTTAACCTTGAGTTAACTTATTCACGCCCCCCCCCATGCTAAATGCTGGCATCTCGACCGTAACATTGGCCCACTCTCCCAGGTAATTCTGGGTAATTCAGGTACATCTTCGTTGTTTTGTTAGGCCGCTTTTCAGAGTGCTAGGCCTCAAGTCTCTTAATGGATCATGCAAATGAGCTCCCCCCCACCCCCACGCCAGCCCAGCAGCAGCAACGCTGCTGTGTGCACACGCAAAACAAAAAATTCAAAAGAAACAATCTGTAGACTAATCCTTCTCATGTTTTTGCGAGATGCGTGACATCATCACCGGCTCCTGTCCTCCACTGCTGTAATTCATGGGATGCAAGTGACTCTCCTGGAGAGAATATGAGAACGTCTGAAAAGAAAAGAATGAATACATTTCCAGATTAAATGGTGTTTCATTAGAGGAAATGAGGGACTCACCTGAATGATGTTGTCTTGTTGTTTGATGCGGGCCCTCTCTCCTGGCAAACGGCCCCAGCATGGGCCCTATCCCTCGATGGCCTCCTGAGCAGATGTCCCTTCTACTTTCAGGAGTCTGACAGTGATCGTTTAGCATCATTAGCGTCGGCTTGATGTGTCTGTTCGTCCAGCTGTGTGGATGTTGCTGACACTGCACAGGGCTGCGTGAGCACAGGCCAGTCAAAACAAAAAAAAAAATCCAAACCCCAGGTGGTAGATAAACCACAGGATTCTTGCAGAATTCAGTTACTGTCTTCCGGGATGCTGAGCTTTCTGTTCATGGGGTGTTCATACTTTCGTAACACCTCACTCGTGAGGTAAATTTTATAATTTATCCATCAAGTTCAAGTGCCTGTATGTAGATGGGGCTGAGTTTGAGCGATCAGAATTGGAATTTACACTTAAATGCCAATATTTACAATATTTGTTTTTCTCATTTTCTGTATTTGCAAGAAAATGCGCCATTGGAAGGCGTGCTGCTTGGAATTCCGCATGGATTAAAAAGCATCATGATGGTCATAATCAGAACAATTTAATTTGGTTCTCATGTGTTTCAGAGGCCAAAGGGTCACACTGGGTCAGTCCATGGTTGGTTCTCAGTTGGGCTGGTCGTTGGCTCCATTTCGGTTTGGCTTTCCTGGAGAAGGGAGACAGGAATGGTTCTGCACAGCACATTGCGCCCTGCATCGCGAGGGTTTTCACTGACTCATAGGATGTCACAGCGCAGCCTCTTATCTTTATGTTTATGGAACGTTTTTATTCAGCACGCCTACCACCTCTGGATGCTGCCAGGCTTCGCGCGTTGCTGCCCTTTGCAAACTGCTTTGCATTCCACACTCTTGCCACATGTTTCCTCAGATAACTATCTTATCGGCTCCGTGTTTGTCCCCTGCGGCCGCTGTTTGTGATTTTATTTAATGATACGGAGTCATCATTGCATGTTTGTTGACATTATTTCCAGATAAGCCTTTATGTTGCCTGGGTACAAATAAGCAATGGTGGGATTTCGCAATGGTTGTTTTATCCGGGCAAAGAGGTCTCACCAGTGGGCCGCCCCTGCCGGTTGTGCTGCGCAAGAGCCGTGCGCTCATTCTGGGCAGGTGTGAGGGGGCATCCCTTCTCGGTGGGGGGGGTAGTCCCTCGAGTGCTGTGAGCAGGCCAGCTAGCCGGGGTTAAATTAGAGATCGACCTTCTGTTAGAAGCAGCTAGTCACCAGTGACCCAGCAAATTTATCTGAACCAAAGGGACCTGTTGTGATGCCTTCAGGTGGAAGCCTTGGGCAAGTCTGGGCATGAATGAAGTGGAGAAAGTCTGAGTGACGAGACCATGATGATGATGATGGTGGTGGTGATGTAGATGATGATGATGGATGCTTGTGTTCTGTCTAAGCACCTTAACGTCCGTGTTGGGGTCTGTCCATCTTCCCCTCGCCCTCATCCACTAACGTGCTTCCCACAAACCCCGGCAGGTGCCCGTCTCCATGGCAATGATGACCCCCCAGATGATCACGCCCCAGCAGATGCAGCAGATCCTGTCCCCCCCACAGCTGCAAGCCCTGCTCCAGCAGCAGCAGGCTCTCATGCTCCAGCAGGTAAGCTGACCTCCCACCTCCATGACCTCTGACCTCTGTGACCTTCAACTTCACACCGACTGTCCCCGTCAGCCCCGGAGTGGACAGGTCTTAAGACACGCTGTGCATTTTTGACACTTTTTCATTTTTATTTTTCATTTATTCAGCTGGTGATTTTTATTCTAAGTGACGTGCATTTACCCAAGTGTGGACCAGCGTGTGTCCTGGCCATTTCCTCAGCATGTTCAGGAGGTAGGACATGGTTGGCAGGATTCAGTGTAGTGCACACCAGTCATATGCTCATTCGCATTCAAATCAATTTTAATTGCAACATTTAACTGTGTTTAACTTTTCCGCTTTTTGTAAACACCTTAGGGTAAGAGCAGACCCCCGTCCCCCCAAAAGTCCCCCCAGGGATGGAAAGGTGATGGGAGGGAGGCAGAGAAGCTGTTTATTGACAGAGAAACATATTTCCTTGATGCACCAATGATGCGTTTTGGCCCACTTCTGTGATGTCACGCCTCCCAAAGTGCCTTGCAAATATTTTACTCTCCTTGCCCCCATGACAACCCAAAAACTACCCACCCCAGCCTTCCAGACTTCCCCCGCAAGTCCTCCCACCCCTATTTTCCTTTAACGCGTTATTAAACTGTCACCCACGTGCGCACGCTGAATTAGCACGCGTGTATGTGGCATGCGGATGCGGATGCGTCACGGGCCCAGTATATAAACACGGCGCGGCATGCTGGCGGCAGGCCTGCGGCTTTAATCGGACGCAGAGGAGCTCGTGCGAACGAGATCTGACAAAATTAATCACTGTGAAAATACTCAGCTTCTCCTGCCGTTAAAAATGCAGACGTTTAAGAATCTGTTTCTCGTGGAAAGTTATCGGAACAAAAAAGCTTACGTCGTACTGGGAGGGGTGGGGGGGCTACTCGTCTAGGCCCACATTTATCGCTCAGTCTCCCCCCCCTCCCCTGTGCTCTGGGCTAGTCCGCTAACAGCCGGGGGTGTTGGGGTGTGGGGTCACTCTTTACGCCTCTCCTAACCTTTAATTACCCCACAGCTGATCGCCTGTTATTTCCCCACCATTTTTTTTTTTTGTGGGATACAGCCCAAGGTCATCGTAATGGGAATCTAAGGTGAATGCTTCTCCATGTGCACGGAATCATTGAATCAAATTATTAAAAAGAAAAAAAAACCTTTAATTATGCCTTTCATTATTCGCCCAGCTTTCCCGCTTTGTGACCACATGAATTATGGGGGTAATGAGTGGACACAGCGCCCCTCTGAGGCTGGGGTGGGCCCAGCCGAGGGAAGTGTACTGGAACGGGCTGGCGGACGGCGGCGAGGGACTGCCCGCGCATTAAATGGGGTTTTCGCGGACGGCTCGGACGTGACCCGGGTTTGGTTACGGCCCGCTGGGGGCAGCGTAGGGACTGAAGCGTGCTGCGATCAGAAGGCCGGAAGCTTACTTTAGCTGAAATGGAATCCTAGGTGTCGTCTGTCTAATGCAAGGCATCTTTCAGGGCACGAGGAAAACTGCTGTCCCTGCATAGCCAACCTCCCTGTTTCTTGCTGTTTGTTTTAAATTTTTTTAATTCAGTAATTTTATTTAAACTGACTTCCATGGGTTGTAATAATCAGCACTCGTTTTGTACATTTTGCTGATGAAAAACTGATTAGGAACCACAGCCCTCGGATGACTGGATCGTTCTAAACAGCTGCGCTCCTGATGTCAGCTGTCTGCATACGCCGGCCAGCTGCAACCGCTAGGTACTGGTGCGGGTTAGCTGGACTGGCCTGTTTCAGCACAGACCGACACTGGCGCTCCTTAGGTTTGTACGTATGAGTTCTCCTTCAGCTTATACTATCCGGACTCTGCTAAGGAGCGAAACTTATGCCTCTTATGCAACTGTGGGAAGCGAGCATGTCTTCTGAGATGTAACGCCAGCGGCGATAAGGAGGACCTGTAATTTTCTGGTTGTTAAAGTATTTTTTTGTGGCTAAGAGAAGCTGTACTTTGCGTGTGGGTGGGTGGCCGCATTTCGCACATTCCCGTCGGACAGGTCACTCGTTCGGCAGGAGATGCCGATCTTAATGGGACTTCCTGGATAAATTAATCATGTGAAAGTAAAACAAACAGACTGGACTCGTAGTGGCTCCTGCGGTTAGCTTAGCCGTGCCGCGTGAAATGTGTAATGACAGTATAGCTGGTCTGCAGCCAGCCAGGGTCAAGGTGGCGTGAAGTGCAAAGCAAACATCTACCAGCTCGCAGATCTTTAGAACCCCCTCTTTTAAAATAGTTCTACTTTTTAGAGTTTCCTTGGCAGGAAAAATGAAAGAAAAAAAATTAATTTCCCCCTTCTTTGTGGTCATCCTAGGCATCAATGCTAACCTTTGAGCCTCAGAGGGCCTCTGCAGAAGTTTGGCAGCCCAGACGGATTGGGCTGTCATTTTTCGGCACTCTGAGGTTGCCGCGGTGATGGCTGCAGACGTCCGTGTTTGCTCAGCGCTGAGGTGCAGTTCCACCTCGCAGCGTTTCTCATGGAGGGGCTGGCAGACCCGGCACTTAGCATGCTTATCGCACGCCCTGTCAACTTCTGCCTGAATACCAGCCGCACACCTTTGACGGTTTTCTTTTAAGATAATTAGGGAGGGAGGCAGCGCAAGAACTGCACGTCTGCCGAGGTGTGGCAGGCCGAGGGCACAAGCTGAGCAGTGTTTATCTGTGCAGAGTTAATATCCCATTCTGCTCCGACACTGAGTAACCAAAGAGTAAACAGCAGCTGGGTTTGTCAGAACAGACACCCCCACCCCCCCCAGCTCAGTATGACTTTCAAAGGTTGCACAAGAAAAGACCAGGCAGTGCTGTGTCCTGGTCAGGAGGTGGGACAGTTAGTACTCTGACCATGGAGAGAAAACCGGGGGAGGGGGGTCAAATTTCTGTATTCTGTAGAAATCTCCCCCCATCCGCAGCAATAGCCACCCCCGGGGCAAGTCAGGAAATCCATAAGTTCTTTAGCCTGCAAGCTTGGAGTCTTGAGTTACCCCAGCCGCTCGGGGCGAACCGTGCAGGACTGGGGGGGCCTGGGGGCAGCAGCTTTACCAAGCCATCTCAGCGGATCCTCCACAGGTGTTTGTGTTGAAGCGAAGGGGAATGGCAAACATTCTCCGCTCCGAAAACAGCCCCCCCCTCCCCAAAGGGAGAGCAGGCTTGTTGTGTCATGCCAAGTCTTTGTTTTTCTCTGCTGCCCCCCCCCGATTCGATCCAACTTGAAAAGATTTCGCTTCGTTTAGTTGTTCCTCACAAGTGTTTCCCAGAGGTTTCTCTCACCTCGGCATACGTTCCGTTGCACAGAAGATGCCCACTTTGAGGGGTAGCCTAATCCCCCCGTAGCTAATGAGTTCCCGGGCAGGCTTTCAGGTGGGGTGGGGGCACGGATTCAAACGGCGGATGTTTGTGCTACCGGAGATTAGCCCGGTTCCCAAGCGTTCCCCCGGCTTGCAAACGGCCCATAAGATCGTACAGTGTTTGCAGTGATAGGGTTCAGCATTTAGCTGCTGTCAGTTACATGCTTTCACACTTCCAGAGCGACAGTCTGTGCAATAGCAAGGTAAAAATAACACATGTGCACCTCTGTACGGGTTTAATGGGTCGCATGTGCTGAACAGCGCGGCTGCCGTCAGCTGCGTTCCCAACGGCGGCGGGTCGATTATTAGTGCTAGACTCCTCCCCAGGAGAGACTGTGCTGTTGCCGCCCGGGGGCTGAAGAGTAACCCTTCACACCCTCAGTTGTGATACTTAACCCGAATTCACTTCAGTTGGATATCCAGCTGTGCGTGTGACCCATTTGCAAGTTTCATTGACCTGTTTGCGTGAAACTGATGGCGATGAGCCTGTAAATGACCACCACGGTGTTGTCTTTATTGCCCAGCTGCAGGAGTACTACAAGAAGCAACAGGAGCAGCTGCACCTCCAGCTTCTCACACAGCAACAGCAAGCAGGAAAGCAGGCCAAAGAGGTGAGTGGTGCACACAACACACCCTAAGGGTTCCTTCTGGCAAGTGACATTCTGCTTGGTACTGTTTGGGAATCACAACCTTTAGGTTCACTTCTGGTAGGTGTTATATGGGATGCTATGCTCTTAGGTTCCCTTCCTGTAGGTGCCATTTTGAACACTTCGCCTTTAGGTTCCCTTTCAGTTGGTGCCCTTTGGGACACCTTGTCTTTAGGTTTCCTTCCGGCAGGTGCCTTTTGGGACACAGCGCCTTTAGGTTCCCTTCCAGTAGGTCTTGTTTGGGACACATGACCTTTAGGTTCCGTTTTGATCGGTATCTTTTGGGATGCATCACCTTGTCTTACATCCAGCCTCAGATCGGATTCTGCGTTCAGTAGCACAGCCACAGGCAGAGAGGCATGCTGTCCTGTTTAAGGCTTTCTTATATCTTAGGGTTCTTTGAAGAATGTGATTAACAAGTGAGTTTAGCAGAAACTGTTCTTTTGTGGAATACACAAAGCCTTTTTTGAGCTGGAGATAAACATCAATCACAGGTTTTTCTGGTATCATTTGGTGGTTCTGTTCCAATGCATCCCATCTTACTTGGATTCACTCGTCCTCTCCATTAAAAATGTCCTTTCTCAGTTTGTGTTGGAAGTCATCCAACTTTCTGTGAGCGCTGTCTGTGAGTTTGCTGCTGTGCGTGTTTATTTGACCCGTGTCTATCCCCCGCAGAGATCACTATATCTATGGCATCTGCTACCCTCACACGCCCCTGCTGAAAACTGCCTTTGCTTTACTCTACACTGTATGATTAGAAACATGGATTAAGTCAATGAAGGAATATGGATTTTCATTTTTCATTTAATATACACACAAAATCACTACGGGTGCCGTGTTAATACTTATTAAGTATTAATTTACAAGTCTCCACAGCTAAGCCAGCGCGAAAATCCCTATTTATGCCTTTGTGGGTGAATCGTAGCTTTTCCTTTAATTGTCAATTAGAGCAGTGCACACAGACAGGGTGTCTTCAGTAATGAAGATGAACAGGAATCCTGCTGGATCATGGGGGATAACTCTACAAGACTACAAAGGAAGGCCCTAATTGCATGGCTGGGCATTATGGGAAAGAGACTGGTTCATGAGTCTTAGGACAAGATTAACTCAAGGCTTTGACCTCTTAGCATCCTGGTTTTGAATGGACATTTTTTCTGGGCCCTGTCGACTGTATTTGGCTTGTTCCTGCTCTGTAGATTATTATTATTTTATTATATATTTTTTTGACTCAACACTACTCAGACATTGGATTCCCAAGCACCAACTCGCCCGTTAAAAACCAGCATTTAATTCTGCCTCAGGTAGCATCGGGCTAATCTATAATGACTCGTGGCGCCGCGCTCGCGTCCCGAGATGTCTGACACGTTAGGTGCGGTTTGATCCTGCACGTTCCCACAAAAACCTCTTGAGGTGAAGGTGTCCTGTTGGTCTGGCCTGGTGGAGCCAGCACAAGTCTCTCAGTTTACACAGTTGCTCAATGGCCCCCAGGCGCCACGCTGATGTGCATAACTTGCAGGGCTGACATTTTCTCATGGAAAGGAAGATAAACACCACCCAGAAATCAAAACAAAACAAAACCCAGCTGAAGGGCGGCACAATAGTTGACGTTCTTACCATATTAACAAAATTTGAGGTGATGAATAGGATTTAATTAGAGCGACGTGTAAACGTGTAAACAGAATGGCACATTGTTTTAAGAGCTCGATCTTGTTTTGATTGGCATTGGGTTTTCTGGACCGGTGTTGGGGGTGTTTCCTGTCAGTGCTTTGTGGAAATTAACACTGGCTGTTAGATGTTACCTGCAAACAGGTGACTGGAGGTCTCTAGTTTGATACTACTTGTACCTGCACGGGTGTCACGTCTGGCTCGCTGCGGTCGTTTTCTTTGTGACGGAGACGCGTGAAATGGGCGTGATGGTTCAAACACACATGGATGTTGTAAGTACTTGTTCCTTGTTTCTCTCGAGCGAGTTCTCTGCTTTTGTGGAGAGCAGCCTGCCCGTGATGGAGCTACTACCTGAGGCTGGGGGGGGGGGCAGTTTGCCAGGCCTTGGCAGAGGAGGATCATAGCGTTACTGCTCCCTGGAGGCTGCTTGGCCCCCACCCTGGCCAGGGGGTGGGAGTGTGTCGGCTTGATGACTGACGGGGCAGCCCCCCGGACCGGGCCGGCTTTCTGTCCCTTTCCTGACCTGCTTCATCCTGACACGCCGTCTTTCTTTTTGGCTGGTGTGCATCACTGCGGTTTTAACATTTAATAATTACTATTTGGGACTTTTTCCTCAGGTGTCAGCGGATTCCCAGGACGTATGCCGACATTATTAATGAGCGTGTAAAAAGTTACGCCGGCAGAGTCTCGGGGCACGCCTGGCATGAGTTGGGAATCGGGCCCAGCTTACGTTTCCTTCATTCTATCATGCCCATCTTGTCAGAGTGTGAGGCCCGCGATGTTGTACGTCACATGACGTCTTAGCCGGTGAATTCCAAGTAGTTTGGGTTATGTCGCTTCTGAAAGGGCTGACGTGGGGGGGGG